CCCCAAAACCCCAAAACCCCAAAACCCCAAAACCCCAAAACCCCAAAACCCCAAAACCCCAAAACCCCGGACAAATCATATAATAAAATTAAAGATATAAAAATGAGGGAAACTAGTGCAGAATTAATATATAAAGTTTGTAAATAAAGTTACAATTATAAAAATACATACAAGAAATGGAGGAAGAAAAAAAGAATAAGAAAATTAACGATGAAGAAAACCTGGAAGGCCAGAGAGATGATCAAGTCATGGTAATAGAAGAAGATTTGACTTTATCTGATGGAGTGGTAAGTCCTATTTTACCCTATCATAGACTCTGATTGGGCAAGACAACCTGTTCTTGAAGAGTGATTTGAAAACAACAAATGAGAAGCTAGATTACCACAAATAAATATGTTGAAGACTCATTTCGCTTTGATCCCAAGTGGTTTGATAATATAGGTAAGGCAGATATTTTAGATCATGTTTTAACATTTAGATGCGCGTCTTGAAAGAATTGAGGCAACACAAGATGATATTCTAAAAAAGGTTACTGAACGAGGAGTTGGTATAAAAATACTTGATGGTAAAGTTGATGGAGTTCTGAAAAGTGTTAGTGCCATTGCTAGAGATGGCAGAAATCTTGACACAAAAGTCGCAGACCTCACCAACGGTCAACTTGAACTTCATACTAAAGTAGAAGCTCTTGATACTAAGCTAGAAGCTCTTGATACTAAGCTAGAAGCTCTTGATACTAAGATAGAAGCACTGGCCACAGCCCAAAAAGAGATGAATCAGAGCATAGATTGTAGAATAAATGGTTTAGAGGCAAAAATAGACGGTCTTGCATTAAAAATAGACGGTTATGCATTAAAAATGGGCGAAATGCTCTCAAAGATCTTCAATATAGTACAAGAGTTACAACCAGCCGCTCCCAACGATGAATCAATATAATTTCTTATCCTATATTTTCAATTAGAACCCGAGGTACGGGGTTTTGGGGTTTTGGGGTTTTGGGGTTTTGGGGTTTTGGGGTTTTGGGG